GGGGGGGCTGGGTTGATCAGGAATGTCCAGGGTCCTCATTTTCAGCATTCTCCGCTTCCTGCCCGTGGCAGAGGGCCTCGCGCTTCTTCTTTTACATTTTTCCGAGGGACGCAGTGCTTCTTGGCGGAGGCGGCGCGCGCGGCATGGTTATGCGCCCGGCCCCATGCAAATTGCAGTTTCGCAAACGCAGGGGAAAATATTGTTTAAATTGCTAATGGTGCGTTATCCTTTGCCTCCCGGGCCGGAGGGGACGCGGCGCCCTCCCGGTCCGTCCTGGAGCCGGCGCACGCGAGGCAGGGCGAGCCGCACGCCCCGGCCTCTGGAAAATACTGGAGAACGGAAAAAAAATAAGCGCGCGCCTCTTCGAGCAACGGTTGTTCTTGGCCGGGAAGCAGGCAGGGGGCCGCCAACAAGCGACGTGCCTTTTCTTTTTTGTTTTCTGTTAGCCGTGGCCTTAGAGACGAGCCCGCTGAAATGCCGCCCCCTGCCATAATAGTGCCTTTTAAGTGCCCCGCATTTTACGGAGTCTCGCACTTTGTATGATTAAAGGATTATAGGCGGCAGGCGGCAAAACCATGTGTACTGTACTTTCGAGGAACGAGAGTAACTACAAAACTAGCAGACATTCCAAAAATCCGAGGAAAAATATTCCCAGGTGCTACCGGGTAATGGCGCTGCAGGAACACTCCAGCACACAAGAGTATCGTCGGGCGCATATCTGAAGTTTACGAGGCCTCTAAAATGATGTCGCGGACGGTCGTTAATGGCGAGAGAGAAGGGAGAGGAGAAAGGGGAGGGGGGGGAGGCAAGATACGGATAGAGGGGGAGGGAGAGAGGGGGGGGGGGAGATGGGTAGCTCGCCGCGCGAGCAAGATAAAACTGGAAAAACTGGGGAAACGTCTGCTGTTCAAAGAAAACGGCCGCGAATATCAGCCACAGCATCAAGCGTTTCTCACGTTTTTCACCAATATTCGTCGTTATAGCTCGGTACTCGACTCAAATACTCAAAAGGTGTTTCATAAAGGGGAGTGCCAGTGGCGTCCCGGCACCGACAATGCAACTGCTCAGTAGATTGACCCGCCGGCCAATAAGCGTGCAGCCGAAGGGGCGTTATTACGTTAATAATCGCGAATTCTACGCCGCCGCGTTTTTTTGCATGGCGCCCGATGACGCCACACGCCGCACTACAACGCCTCCGCCACGCTCCCGCTTTCATACAGCCATCGATGCGACGCGACGCCCCCCTGCCCTTTCCCCGGTATAATTACTCGAAGACAAATAGCCTTGCAGGTGTGGGGGTCGCCCCCGACCCTCCAT